TTGAATTAATTCATTTCTTTATATATATTTTAATGGGCCACAAAACTGACCCACTGGGCCTTTAATTCTGTAGATCCAGTGTTTCAGGCCACCCTAATTTAAATTAATTTATTTTTTAATATTTTAATGGGCCACAAAACTAATCCACTGGGCCTTTAATCCTGGAGTTTCAGGCCACCCTAATTTGAATTAATTATTTTATATATTTATATTTATATTTATATTTATATTATATATATATATATATATTAATGGGCCTGACCCACTGGGCTTTTAATCCTAGAGATCTGGCGTTTCAGGTCACCCTAATTTAAATTAATTTATTTTTTAATATTTTAATGGGCCACAAAACTAATCCATCGGGCCTTTAAGACTGGAGAGCTGGCGTTTCAGGCCACCCTAATTTGAATTTTTTTATATATATATTTATATTTTAATAGTTATGGTGAGGAAAAGGCATTAGAATTCCTCTCAGGCTATCATCTTTCTCCAAAATTCCTCTGATGGAATTCCCTTCCCGTGGGCATTCCTGCCTTTTTCTCTTTTGTACACCTTTAAGGGACATTTTGGGGGGATAGGAAAAATTTGCAAAAAGGTGGCATTTTTTTGATACTTCTTGGCGTGGGAAATCTCCCTAAGCTAAAATCGAGTTTGGGGGGTTTCTCGGATTGTCATGGTTGTGAGAAAAACCCTATTTTGAGTTGTTGGGAATCCCCGTCCGTTGGAATTTGCTGGAATTTGGGTATTTTAATGTGCGCTGCGTGAATTCAACATTAAATTTAATGTGTTGTGAGGCTTGAAAACATCGAAGTATCTGTTTCGAATCACCGCCCACCTACCTGGGTTTTTTTTAATGTCTTGAGATTTTTCTGGGTTCGCCTTCCTGCAAAGACACCCCCCCCCCCAAATCCCACATTTGAAGAGTCGCTTCTGGAACATTCCATGAGCTTTGAGTGGGGCCTGGGTGGAAGATTTTGATGGATACAAAATTAATTTCCTCCCCGTTTTTGTTTTTTGTTTTGGTTCCCCCTTTGGGGCAGTGGGCTAGGCGAGGGGGTTGTGTCGCCAATTCGAAGCGAATTTGGGGGTGCAGAGAGCCAAGGCGAGAGGTTTTCAAAATGGCGGAGAAGGATGTTGGTTGGCAAGAGGAAGGGGGGTGTGTAATTGTGTAGACTCTATTTATTTATTTGTTTATTCATTCATTCACCCATCTCTCTCTCTCTCTCTCTCATCTATCTATCTCTCTATATATCTAAACTATATTTATCTATAAAGAAGCTTAAAACCAAGGCCCACCTGCAACCCCGATCTTAAAAAAGGGAAGGAGAAAAAAAACAAAAAACCAACAACCCTGTTCAAATTTAAAAATAAAATAAGCCGACGGCAGCCTTTGTTTGCAAACAAACCAAAAATACCACCCAGCCGCTTCTCCTAGATAGACGTTGGTTACTTTCTTTTGGAGAATCTCAAAAGAGGTTGCGTAAAAACGGATTGTTTCTGTGGCAGGACAAATGTGAGATTTTTTAGTGATTCAAAATTTTCCCCATGGATGTGCCCAAATAAAACCGAGGGGTGTGAAAAAAACCCGCCAGTTTATAATATTAATCATTAAAAGTCTGGCGACGGAGCAGAGGAAAATCCAATTTACAGGTAGTCCTCGACCACAATGCAGCCCCAAAAATTTATGTTGCTAAGGGAGACATGTATTAAGCGAGTTTAGCCCTGTTTTACAACGTTTCTTGCCACGTTCGCAAAGGGAATCCCTGCAGTTCTTGAATTAGTCACACGTTCATTAAGCGAATCCGGCCTCCCAGTGGACGTTGCTCGTCCGAAGGTCGTAAAAGGTGTAACCCTGGGGACTCTGCCACCATCATAAATATGAGTCCCTTGCCAAAAGCGGTCGAATTTGGATCACATGACCCCCGGGGATGCTTCAACGGTCGTAACTGTGAGATGACGGTCCTGAGACACATTTTTCAGGGGGCTGTTGCAACTTGTAACTACACCTGTACAGCAGTGGTGGTATTCTAACGGTTCATCCCGGTTCAGCCGAACTGGTAGTAAAACAATTTTGAATCCCACCACTGCTGTACGATCTATAACCGTGAAGGTGAACCTGTGGCGTGCAGAGTCATTTCTGTGGGCACATGAGCCCGAGCTGATTTTCAGCCTGTTTGAGGCCTTTTTCGCCCTCCCGGATGCTCAAGAAAAGCCTCTGCAGCCTCGGGGCTTCTGGAAATACCGGAAGTGACAAAACGGGCCGGTTTTTCGGCCTCCAAAGGCTGCAGAGGCTTTTCTTGAGCATCCGGGAGGGCGAAAAAGGGCCTCAAAGAAGGCCGAATATCAGCTGGGAGGTGCACGCACAGTGCAATTAAAGGAGGGTTGTGCGTGTACATGCAGGGGGTCGGGGCACATTGCATTGTGGGTGTTGGCATGCGCCCGCCCTTTCGGCACCCCGCGACAAAAAGGTTCACCATCACTGGTCTATAAGAACGTCAAATCTGACGTTTGTGATGTATTATGGATTTTAGAAGTCTTATCTTCAGCAAATTTCTCCCTTTGTCCGTTCTGGTGGAAGAAAACTCAAGGAACTACGAGAATTTGTATTTTAAGGCTGGTTCAAGATCTGTCTCACCACCAAATTCCTTTTATCAGCTCTAGGAAAGTCTTTTTTTTTTTTTGGGGGGGGGGGGGGGGGGAAGTAGATAAATCTGGAGCCACGGCGTCCAAGAAAAACAGGACCTCGGAGGCAGGTTCACCTCCCCACCCAAAATATTTCAAAACACATTAGCAGGGGGGGAAAAAAAAAAGTATATTTATCTGCCAAAAGACAGGGAAAGAAAAGAAAGTCATCCAAGCCACGGGAGACAACGATGATTTTCTCCCCTGAATATTTGCCAGCGCTTCCATTTCAGCTTGCCGGAGACCCCATTAGTAATTGAATTTTTTTTTTATTTTTTTTTTTTTAAAAAAGGAAATAATTAAATTCATATTCCAAGAGATCATGATCAAGTTACGAAGGATGCTTCAGTGAACACAATACAAAATATTCTCCCCCCCCCTCATTTCGAAGACCACACTTGGAATAACGGCATCCAGTTTTGGTTGCCAATGATGTAAAAAAGATGTTGAGATGTTGAGTGCAGAGAAGAGCACCTAAGAAAGCTAAAACATACAAGGAACCAGTGCAGGAATTGAGTAGGTCAAGTTTCATGAAAAGAAGGACCAGGGGGGGCAGGATAGCAGCCTTCCAGTATTTGAGGGGCTGCCCCAAAGAAGAGGGAGTCAAGCTATTCTCCAAAAAACACCGGAAGACAAGAGAAGAAGCAACGGATGGAAACCAACCAAGTTGAGAAGCAACCTGGAATTAAGGAGGAATTTCCTGACAGGGAGGACAATTAACCAGTGGAACTCCTTGCCACCAGAAGTGGTGGATGCTCCGTCACGAGAGGTTTTTAAGGAGAGACTGGACAGCCATTTGTCTGGAATGGGATGGGGTTTCCTGCTTGAGTGGTGGGGCTGGACTAGAAGACCTTCAAGGCCCCTCCCAACTCTGTTATTCTGTACGAAAGCGTCTCCTGCTTGAAAAGGGGGTTGGACTAGAAGACCTCCAAGGTCCCTCCCATCTCTGTCCTTCTAATAATTCAGCCTCTTGCAATGGACCGATGGGGATGTTTGGTCAATGCCGAGGGGATTCAAGAGAGTCTTCCGTTGTTTCCGCGACTGCATCCAAGGCGCCTGTCGCTATAGTGGACAAACCCACGGCGGTCGTTAAAGTCGAGGACTGACTAACTGGGGGTTCGGCTCCGGAGAGTTCCAGCTGGATTTGGCGCACCGTGAAGCGGTGAAGAAGTTCTATGGGCCGATCAAGAGAAGTCCAGCGGGAATCCAGAGAGGCAGGCGGCTAGTTCAACAGGTCGAACTGCTACACCTGGCTGCCCGGTGTAATTTTGCTTTCCCCTCCTCCCCCCCTGATGCCAAATCGGCAGGGAAGGACCGCATCACATCCCGGCTCCCTTTGGCGAGCCGCTCCTTGTGCGAAAGATGCCAGAAGAGGTCGAGTATTTTGTGCAGTGACCTGGAATCAAGCCGTCCTGATTTGTGGATTTATTTATTAAAAAGATCTCTCTCTCTGCCCATTTGAACCCCTACTTGCTTCCGGCAAGGCGGGCAACCTTTGCAAGCAGACAGCAGAAATTTAGCCTCCTGGAATGGGCGTTCGGTGACGTACCTGCCAAAATCATCTATTTAAGGTTATTTTTCATTAAAACGAGAAAAAGAACAAAGGAGGCCAGAGGAAATGTAGGACAAACATGGATTTTCAAAAGCATCTTCCCAGTTGGAAAGTACGTGAGCTGTTTCCGTCCATACAGGCTGTCCTCGATTTATTTATTTTATAATACATTTATTTATTTTTAATATAATCATTCCATCTTCAATCCTCAGTTTATATCACAGTTCATTTAGTGGCCGAAGTTATCGCCTCTCAATCAGGAGGCTGTGAGTCCGATTCTAGGAAGAGGGTATCTCTCTCTCTCTCTCTCTCTCTCTCTCTCTCTCTCTCTCTGGGCACAATGAGAATATATCTGCTGGGGTGAAAAAAAAACTCCGCCCTGGTGACAGGAAAGGCATCTGGCCAGGAAAAACACTCCGCTCCATTCAGTTGGCCAGACGCCGCCCCGATGCAAGGGATTATGGCAATGGTGGCTAACCTTTTTTGGGCTCCTGTGCCAAAAATTGTGTGTGGGCCAAACGTCGGCCAAAGCTCACTTCGCACACGTCTCACTTAACAACATCAGGGCACAATGGTGGTTGTACGTTGAAGACTATGTTGAAAGCCTTTTAAGAGCTTTAAAAAAAAATTGGTTGCTGAGCGAAATGTGCAATGGTGAACTGGATTTTTTTTTTTTTTTTTTAGCTGAAGAGCGAAGGGGGAAAGGATGGGACTAACCAGGTTTGTTGTTTCTGTTTTGTTTTTGGGTTTTTTTCTGCCTGCAGAGACATTGATGGATTCCACCACAGCGACAGCCGAGCTCGGCTGGACGGTGCACCCGGTTTCAGGGGTGAGTTTTGGGGTTTGGGGGGAAGGTTGGGTTTTAAAGCCACCAAACGCTTAACGGGGGGGGGGGCATTGCTTGGTCCGGCTTGGGGGGATCTTTGGGGCCCAGACTTTGTAAAACAAAGGTTCAGTTTTTGGAGAAAGAAAAATTACAAAGATGTTCAACAATCCATTCGAGTGGGAAATTCTTTTTCTCTCTCTCTCCTTCCTTCCTTCCTTCCTTCCTTCCTTCCTT